ACGATGTATGTAAATGTCTGATTGTAAAACAATTTGCAGACATCTCCATTTTGTGTTAAACTTTAATAATATCGGATAGCACAGAGAAATACGAAACACAAAGATAAAACAGTACTTTCAATGCAGTGATTTAGTATGCGCGATAAAGCAAACATTGTATTTGTAGAATAGTAAAGTATAATATGGGGTTTTATATTTTCCAATCAATAATAAGCTTTGGTAAAAAGAAATCTTATTCCATGCATACAAAGTCCAAGGTGATGATATGGTATGATTGTCGGATATTAAGGTAAATTGAATCCATCCAATTAAAGCATAAAACATGTAAAGAATACCGCGATACTATTTAGCCGAAACAAAAATTTCTTATTTTATCCTTATTTTATCTCAAAGTTGCATAAGAATGGGAAAAATTATGCGAGAATGTGAAATATTCTATAAATTATACTGTCTGACAGGTATGTATGCCGTATTCATTATATGATTGCAACATGTGTTTTATATAACAAATTTAATTGGATGTACTATTATCCGCCACAGATTAAGAGTCTAGTATAACCTTAATCCAACTTTAAACTATAATATAAGAATTTTGATTGATGAAAAATTGACACGAGAAAGAATTTATCAAAAAATAAATTGTTTTGACAAAGATCATCTCACGTGAATTGAATTCGCACTATATGTAATGCCTTTATATTATAATATTATGTATGTGCGCTAAAACGCACATTAATGCATCCCCAATCAATTTTATGATGCAACCATCACATGGATTGTGTATGCTTATCTATAGAATAAATACATAAGTGCACTCTAATGAACACTTATAATTTCTGAACCTATAAAGCTTAAAATACAATGTTGTTGAACAGAGTATTGATTTGCGTTCTGTTATTAAACCCGTTCCTACAGTAGTTGCAGGTAATCCTAAGATATTGCAAACTAGTTGTAACCGCTGTTCGTGTCACACTATTCATTAGAGATTGAGCATTATGAGTTGAAGATTAGAATTCAAAATAAAATGAATTAAAATTAAAATTATCTGATTAATCGAATTCTAATTCGCAATCCTCAGTCTCCAATGCGTAGTGTGATACAGACTTTACATGGAGTAAACATTTAATTCCGTAAATAATTTTGTATTGTATAACGTATAGATGTAGTGAAATAAATAATTTTAATTCTCACGCAAAATCTATTTGCGATTCCTGCAATGAAAACGAACGTGGTTTCAATTTTTTTTCCTTCTATTAATCTAATCCTTTCTTTTTTCTTGTTTTAAAAAGAATTTAAAAAAATAAATAAAAAAAAGGAAAAATGACGTCCCATATACCGACTATGTTTTATTTTGGCTCCATATATTTGAAAACTGCTGAAATGTATCATAAATATTATTCATAAGTTTGTATTTAGTTCTCAAGTTTATTCCATTAATATCGCTTTTAATACGCAATAAATAAAATTAATAATTTTTTACAAGTCTATTTTCGAAACATTATGTCCTATGATAAATCCTATTAGAAATCTCAATATATAAGTATATAATGTATCCTCATGACAAGTTTTCGTATCAGGTATATTATAAAAATTTCCATTATTTTTTATCATTTTCCAATAAATTTTAAATATATGTAGTTCTCTCTTGAATTAACATCTCGTCATCCGTATTCTGTAATTAAATAAAAAAAAACAGCGAGCTATAATATCATATAATCTACAATATATATAAGAACGTGAACTAGATTTTTAGTGTAATCGCAGTGAATAAAGAAACGCAACCTATATCATTGCCTCGCTGTTTTTATTATTATTATTATTATTATTATTATTATTATAAAATGTATGTGTCGAATGCAGATGATATTTAAGACAGAGCTGCATATTTTTAAAATTGCATATATTTAAAATTTTAAAAAACAATAAAAAAAACAATGGAGACACATATATATGTTACGTACCGTTAATTTTTTCTCAGGAAAGTCGAATCAACTTTCTCGTCAGTTAGACGACCAAAAAGAGGTAACAAGCCAAAATTACAAAAAACAATTTTAATTGCAATCCCTAATTCTGTGGAATTTCGCAATTATGAATCAAATAAATTATACCGGGTATATAAAAAAATAATTTTTTAATACTATTCTATTTCTCCTCTCTCTACCTCTTTTAATTCCTCTTCATTGTAGAAAGTTATCATGCTACAAAACGTGAGCAATTCTTCGGCCAGATTTCAATTAATGACAAGACCTAATTATTCTCAATTCACTGTCATGATCGAACCTAAAACACAAACAAGGAATATTTCTCCAGGGATGCATAGAAAATTGATTATTTTCTTTCGTGGCGATATCTTGGACGAACCTGATGAAACGTTAATAATAAATGTGCAACAAGGACGTTCGGTGATTATTAAATTACGCGGATATCGAGATCCACCATTATTGAGAGGTAAATGAATTTACAACTGTAATAAACTCGTTGGTACATGTATAAATTGTATGTATGAAAAAATATATATAAAATGTAGAAGATAAAATTGATACGGTATGTAAGAAAAATTCAGGATTATAATCTTCCACACACACACACACACACACATACACACACACACAAACATATGTATATCATTGTTTTTTTATAGTGATTAATATCCCCTATTTCCAATATTCATTGAAAGAACTGCAAATAATGATAAAAGATACGAAATGGATTATAGAAATTCCATATCGAAAAACGGATTCTTACGAGAAAGTATAACTATTTTCTAATTTTTAATGACATTCAAAATAATTATATACAGTTAGTTAAAAAACTATTTTAATAAAAACTTACAGTTTACCGACACAGATAAGAGTGCATCAGATACATCTATAGAAAGTATAACGCGATATAGAAAATTGAAGAGCTTTGACTGTGGGGAGTGTCTAGTAGGTGAACAAGTTACCTTACCCCTGATGATTAAAAATATCGGGGGCGAGGGAAGGTTCTTTATTATGAGCGAAATAGATTGGAGTTCGATGCACATCGAGGTAAAAATAATAATACTATTAAATAATAATACTATTAAATAATAATACTATTAAAAAATAGAAAAGTATAATTATTGACAATAATTATTGACTATACAAGTATATTCCTATCTTACTTTAGGATGTTATTAACAATAATATACTGATTTTACCATCTTTTGCTATATGGCCTGTGTATTTTATCCTCAAACCACAAGAACATATATGTCTGTACCTCTACTTCTTTCCTGATGCTCATGGAATGCATGTAAATTATAATGCAAAAAAAATAAATTTTTATTTCTTTTCTGTTAGAATGTCTTTCCTTCTTTTTTCCCTGTTAGAACATATCTAGATACACAAGTACAAGTATCTATAAATTGAAATACTTTCTATACTTTATAAATAATAAATATGGTATGCAATTTCCACTAAAATACCTCAGAACTTAGGTACTTCCAAAAAAATACCCATAGATAGACTTTTTTGATAAAGTATCCTATGTCTGTATTCATAATCAGACCTTGTACTTAAGACTTCCTTAAAGATTTTATCTTTAGATGCTCAGCAGCCAATCAAATAATTCGTAGAATATCTAAAGATAAATTTAAGGAAAGCCTTAAATATAAAGCCTGACCATGAATATTAGATACTTTAGTGAAAATTGCATATGATATCTAGTACTAAATATGGAAAGGTCTCAACTCAGGTACCTGTATAACATATGTATCTAGATGTGTTCCAATAATGTGTCTTTCTAAGTTTCTTTTTTCTAAAATTAGGTGGAAACATTATATACGATTTGCAACAATTGTTCCGTGGTAACAACAGAGATCATTGGAGATGGAATCATGTACGAACAATAGTAAAGAGAGAAAGGTATACATATATATATATATATA